TGGGTAGATGAGAGGAGCCTAAAAAAAACAGAACGAAAAAGTTGCTAACCGCATAACTGTAGAAACGAGATGCAGATTACTACTGATGAAAATATCACAGAAAATGCTTATCGGGACTAACAAGACCAGTTGAAATTGCCTAGGCGTTAAGGAAAGTTGTGAGGAATACAGAAATTTCGTTGGCTAGACGATTCTGTAGCACCAGAACAAACCTGGAAATAATTGTGATATTTCGAGTGCCGTTTCCGAAGACTCAATTGTTAATTTATAGTGGGCATTTCGCTGAGCGTTTGCTAAACGACACATCAAATTAAGCGGCATTTTGATTTCCACAGAAACAACGTCACCTGTAAAAGCTACCACTTCAGTTTTGAGCAATTGCAGTATACACAAGAAAAATGGAATTAGTGCTAAAAACCAATACGAATGTCAAAACCCCTCCGGTACTAGTTCACTGCGAGAGGCAAAGACATTATGTAGTAGCCCTAACAGTAGCAAGTGCTGACAGCAACCACCCCTTGACAAGGCTGTCAATGGTGTTCTCTTTCAAGGATTGCTTACAAGCAAGTTAATGGCAGGTGACATGCCGGCATACACTAGCACAAATTTACCATCGAAACGAATGAACGAAACATAATGGGATCAGTTCTTTCATAAGCGGAGACAAATCATCGACCCACTACAAAGTATACCATTTTAGCTATAAGAGCTAGCACGCATCTACTACTAATAATAAAGGTATTAAGATGATATATGCATAGTAATGTGTTTTTTTTACTTTTCAACGAGATATAAAAGACGAGTATAAAAAGCAATGTACCAAAATGTGCCGAGAATGCAAATAAACTGTAACGCAAGTCATGCACAGGACTGCTGGAGACATACACTGCCGAAGATAGCTTTTGGGTACCATCTGCAACATTCAAAGGAAAGTTACACAAAAAAAGAGGAAGAAAATGAAAGAATCGCAGCATCAGCGTAACAGATATAAACTTGCCCTCGAAGCTTTTTTTGATGGACCAAAAAATATAACTGGTCCAAGACTATACTGTGTGAAATATGCACGATCTTACTTTCGCAAAGAAGTCGTTATAAAAAAAGACTTGCTGTCTATGGTAGGCAGCAAAGGAAGGTATATTCGGCCTTGAAGCAGATACACAGTAAATGTGCTGCAGCGCTGACACTAGTGCACCACGACTGATGGTGTAGTGGGTAGCACGTTACGTTTGGATGTGAAGGTGAGTTCGGTCTCCTTCTGGTGTACAAATCTTTTTGAAAAGGGACTCCGTTCACTACACTGAAATGCTGCTAGAAGCCATACGAATCAGTGACAGATTTTTCAGTGCTGAACTGCATACCTTCAATTATCTTTAAGATCACACATATTCGATAAGTAAGACTGAACTGCGCGCTGTTTTAATATTAAGAGCATAGTACAACAACAAACCAATAGCGGCAAAAGACGCATAGGTATGATCAACGTGAAATGCCGCATAGCACGCAAGTCTAACATCCAGTACACGCACTCCACTCAATTCGATATTCAACGTTAGCGATGGAACTTCTTCCGTAGAATTCTCTGCTTGCTGCAAAATTGTTTGATTGTAAAATGAATGCTACTGTTCCTTTACTCGCGAGCAAACTAATACGATCAAACTTTCAGAAAGGAAGCGGGCATTCTCTGTAGAAGACGGGCACAAACAGAGGTAATTTAACAGAAGAAGGTGTAAAATAGCCAGGTTCAGCATGTTGGTTTAATGAAGAACATAAACTTGAAAGATTTGAGCGCAGCTAAGCCCTCTTGAAAAACAACAGGTTCGAGTGATTTTGGATGGCACTTACTAAAGCAAAGTCCAGTAAACCCGAATAATCCTAGGATCCTAGATGATAATTCTTCTTGTTCATTATAATTTTTTGTCTTCCACTTTCCAAACTCATTAATTCATTCTCCCATTTTCACAAACAACTTGTAGTTGCAAGAAAGCAGAATTTCGATTTAGTTTTCTAGTATTTACTTCTGTCTTACTTAAAACCCTTCCGCTAACCCTTGATTTGCAGTCTACAACCTCATCATGCAGACTCAAAGGAAATGATTTAAAAGAATCAATAAAACCTGGATTTTTATTTCTCCCAGGCAAGACAAAGCGATTAGGGAATGGAAATGTGAGAAAACCAAAGAAAATGAAAAATTTAAAAAAAAAAACTGAGAAAATTTATGCAAAAAAAGCTATTAAAGGATGTAAATTACCGATTTCATATCCAGACCATCATAAGTACATTTCAGGGATAGCGTGCTTTTTGAACCTGCAAAAAATTTTACTGCATTTTAAAGCTTTTCAGGATTGCTGTTTCTTTGAGCACTACTATTTTATTACTTTGCTGCTAAGTTCCCACACTTTAGATAGTAAATGCGGTAAAATGATGTTTTATCTTATTGCTTAGCT